CCGCGCTAAATGTGGCCAAAAGCAGCCAAAGGAAAGACAAACAACAGCCGCTCCACCAAAATATCTACAACAATTTCTAAACGCTGTCATAAAAATGAAATGAAAACAAGCAGAAGGCAGTCAGTCCCCCGTTTGGACCAAAGACGGGGAACGGGCCTGATGCAGAAGATGTAAAAAACTTAAGACATTCAATAAGTTTACTTACAGCTTAGAACAGGGCATCGAGCACAGCGGTCACTTGGCTTTGGGGGCTGGGAGGAGGAGGAGGGGGGGGTGACCTTTTTATCGCTCCAAATATGTTTATGACTCGGTTTTGGTGGGTCGAATGGTTTCCCTAGACTGCTGACAGCTTATAAATCTCAGACTTTTTGTGTGCGCTGTGCACATGAAATTGTTTTTAACGACAATGTGTGTCCACGTAAATTATTAGTTTAATAAACGTTAGGCACATAACAAATAATTGCCCGAAAGGCCAAAGCCAAGTGAAGGTTAAGGATTAGCCCTAATAATAATAGCTATTTTGTTTGATAATGTATTAGCTGTAAAGAGGTATAATACAGTCAAAGCATACGAAGCCTTGCGCCTTACTTGCATTTATGAGAATCGCATAGAAAAGCAATGTAAACAATTTTTTTTATTTTTAACGCAGCGATAAGTCTGCTCTTGGTAGAAAAGAACAAACACACGCATAGACATAAATATAAATACTATATAAATAAATAATGTAAATTGTAAGTGTGGACGTTGGGAGATCACATTACAAAAGAAATTTCAGTTCAAATTTCACAGATGACCCATTCGTAAACTAAGCCTATAGCCTTAATTTAATTAATTGAATAACATGTCTTTTGTAATTCATTTCTTGAAAATTATTAAAAAACTAAAACTTGCACTAAACGACGTCTTAATATATATATTATTCAAAAGATGCTAAATATGCATTACCTATCCTTAACCAGTTTTCTCTGCCCCTAAATGTGCACATGCATGCGCTGAACCCTTTGGCGGGAGGCGAAAATTTATTTTTCAATTAATATGAAATCAAGCATTAAAATTGAATTAGCAACCGAAACTAAGCACAAATCTTGTTGGTTGGCTGGCTGGCAAAGAAAACTTGGCAGTAACTTTGGCCAATTAGAAAATTACGACAGCGACAAGGACAATATGTTGCCTACTTTGCGGCAGCAACAGCATCTTGAGAACGCAAGTCCCGCCCGGCAAATATTGTTTAGTAATTTTGCCGCGCTTATTTTGTATGTTGGCCGGCGGGCAGACCTGGCAAAAGTTCAACTAACAAACAAAAGCGATAATTACAAGAAAACAGGCGAGCAGGCAGTGCCAGGACTGCGCCAGGACACAGGACACAGGAGCAACAGCAGCCAGGAGCAGGACAAGCAGTAAACTTTGTTTGTCAGTTGCGTATGCGAATGCAAATAATTTTACAAAAATGAAAAGCAGACGACAGCAAAACTTTTACGTAGATTCAACATTTTTGAAATCTATACGAATAAGCCGGAGTCCTGAGTCCTGAGTCCTGTCAAAAGCGAAAGGGTTCCTCTCCTCACTTCTTGTCGTAGTTTATGGTCCTGTCTAAAGGCATTTAACCTACGCCACTATAATTCACGCCATTTTCAGCGGCATTTAAATGCAGCGCGCGCGACTCGCATCCTGGCATCCTGGCCGTCCCGGGGTTGCCGCGTCCCGGGGCTTGGCTCCCCAGCTGGGATAACGATAAGCCAAACATGATTTTACGACAATGTTATTACCAGGCAGCCAACGGAGGTAGAACAGGTCCCGGAGGTCGGTGGATGGATCCCTTGTATTGTATGTTGTGTTTGTTGAGACGTAAAAGGCATTTTGGCTGGCTGGGCTAGGTCTGGGCTAGCCCTGGGGTTATATGCCATGACGCTAACGTCGCTGTGATTGTTTAAAGTTATGAATAATTAAATATTTGAGCAGGTTGCGGACTCCGAATCTGTAGCTGGGTTCGGGTGTTCCCCATTAGGTTGATGGCCGAGGGTCTGGCGGTAAATTCCTATATATCGTATCGAATGGTATCAACAATCTGTGAACCACTTTGTATTATCCTTTATCAAGAATTTTCTTTCTGCTATCACAGAAAGCATTAAATTTTATTATCATGAAAATATAGAGAATAAACATATAAATCTGGTATGAAATAAAAGTAGTGTATCTATAATGTCTACCAATCTATCTATACAGAGATAACAAATTATGAGTTGATTTATTTTATTTCTTCTGGGCTTTTATCTACAACTCCTTTTTCAGATTATACAGAAAAAAAAGTATTTATCTGCCACAACCCTCTGAGAATTTACCACCCCTTTGCTATTCAGTTATTTACGGGCCGACCACAAAACGCTAATGCAAATAATTGCCGTCCATTTCGAGTGCATTAAACTGGAAATTATGTGCACAGCCGCAGTTAATTACACAAAAAGGAAAATAATTAAACAAAAAAGTCATTTTACCAAAGTTGGAGATGCGGGGCATCGATCCCCGTACCTCTCACATGCTAAGCGAGCGCTCTACCATCTGAGCTACATCCCCAGTTGAAAACACACGAAAAAAGAGTCTTTTTTAAGGCAACAGAATGTCTTACATTGATTTATGTGTTATTTTATGCATTTAACCTTGAATTTTCGGAAAGGGTCATGCATTTTTTAAAATATAAACTGGTTGGCTGCATAATAAATAGATATTTTGGATTTGTGGGCTTTTTAAGATAGCTTCAAGATTATAACCACTACCTGGCGATCATAAATACATGAGGCTCAATGGTCTAGGGGTATGATTCTCGCTTTGGGTGCGAGAGGTCCCGGGTTCAAATCCCGGTTGAGCCCGATGAACTTTTTATGACTTTTTTTAAATTAAAATTTTAATAAAAAAAATTCTATTTAGTTGTCAGTAGTATCTCTTATTATCTTATTATCTATGTAATCTTTTGACAATCTCTGTATACTTATTAAGAATGCTGATAATTACCCAACCTCATGTGGGGTAATAAAAAATGTTTATACAAACCAGTTTTTTATTGTTTCACTTACGTTTCTTTATTGTTCATGAAACCGGCTAGCTTTGTCAAAAACTACTTTGCTGACATTTCTTGCATAATAAAATCGTCTGATCATGAATATTTTATCTCTGAGCGCACCTTCGAAATTTGTTTAAACAATTTTGTGTCTCGTTTACCCTAACAGAAGTTACTATTAATATGTCGCTAACTGTGTAACGCATTTAAGATGACAACTTCTGTTATTGAAATGACCGAACAATAATTTAGTCGTTTTAGGATAAAGCTTAATCATGCGTAACACCACAAATGTTACCGAAAAAACTAGTCAGGTAATATTTAGCTTCATACCATTCGTTGATAATGAATAAATCACCACTTACCCAGCTTAGCATTTGGATTAATACTATTAATAATACCTTTAAAAGTAAGCTACTGGTTAGGGTGATATCACTAGGTCTTACTTCTGGTGTATGACTGTCAGGGTATTTTATTCGTCACCAAAGTTAACTTTCCTAACTTGTTTAAAAACGTCTTTCAATTGCCATTACCATTAACCACGGTGTTATTTGCATACCAATCTATTTTTAAGCCGCTTGAATTGCACTTTTATCGCCTATTGACCACTAAGCTGGGCATTTTTCGGACGGGGATGTAGCTCAGATGGTAGAGCGCTCGCTTAGCATGTGAGAGGTACGAGGATCGATGCCGCGCATCTCCATTACGAGTCATTTTTTTTATTGTTTTTGTATCAAATATCTTATCCTTATATAAAAATAATATCTGTGCTCTGTGTCTGTAGTTTTTTTTTAAGCTAGTTCAAGCTTTTGTTGAGTATACGTTCGTTAAAAATTAATTGATTACAGGGAAAAGAAACAGTCAGACTGCACCTTCACTTTATTGCTAGATTTTACCAGGGAGAAACGGCAAAAAATACACTAAGCTGGAAATATAAATAAAACTATTTTTACCATTAATTTACGATTTGCTTAAAAATGTATTTCAAAAAACGCTGCAAATATCAAGTTGAATTTTTGATATTTTATATTAAAGACAGATTCATAGTTTTTACAGGATCGAAGAAACAAAACACAAATATATTATTTGGATATTGGTTTCAAATATTTATTGTTATTAACTCGTTAATTACAAAAATGGTTCAAAATTGATTAAAAAATTCATCGAATTGGAGATGCGGGGCATCGATCCCCGTACCTCTCACATGCTAAGCGAGCGCTCTACCATCTGAGCTACATCCCCGTATGATCATCGGCTGCCCCAAAAGCATTTCATTCCGCAAGGTTGTTCAACTTTTGCAAATTAACCGCTGCTTACCTTTGGTACGATCTGGAATGAAACAACCCATAAAATGTACCACCCAGCAAAATCTACCACCCTCAGTAAACAAAAGAAATTAATTTACGCATTTTCTTTTCAGTTGCATTTTCGCTTTATTATTTATTCTCTTTTAAAAACTGTCAATATTTACACTTGGCACAGGTTTAGTCTACCATAAAAATTACAAAAATACACACTCGCGCAATTTTCATTTTATTGTATTGCTTTGTTTTCTTTGCGTTATTGTTTTGAGCTTTGCACAACGTCTACAGCATCCGCTCCGACCACCTGCCATCTGATGCATATAATTATGGAAATTTCGAAGTGCGTCTCACCCGCCCAACAACAACAACAACAACAACAAATGACACCCAAACGCAAAATCAACGCAAGCAGACGTAACGATTTTGTCACTGCAAATAAAAGTTGCTACAAAACAAAATGATAAAACAAATGGAAATCTCTGGGGATAAGGATCAGGCAAGCCACATTTGCATAAACTCAAAACATGCCAGAATATTGATTACATGCAGACATCATTCAAAATCTGTACTTTTGCGCGCCCAATTTTGATACGGGTGGCAGCACTGTCTCGCATGCAACCCTGCGTACAGCTGTCTTAATCTCACATGCAATATAAAAATAAAAGTTCTATTGTGCATAATTCGTTTAAGTTTATGTTTTTACGTGTGTTATTGCTATTAATATAAACAAAAGCGTTAACAATTGCAAAAGTGAGAGGCGCTCGAGAATGCTGCAACTTCAGCTACTGAGCTAAAACGCTCTCTTGCGGTTTCAAACAACAAAGAGTACAAAAATGTCCTGCCACTGGCAACTACAATTTGTCAACTGCGGCCAGCAAACGTGATAGGCGCTGCCTTAATAATGAATTAAGTTTATATTTATGCATACAAAGTGTACATATAGTATTAAGTTTTGTAATGCATGAACGTCGGGGACCAGCCACAACAGCTGCTGCAGCTGCAGCTTCTGTTGCCGGTGTTTCTGCTGCAGCAGCAACAACAACAACAGGAACATCGACAACAACAACAACAACAACTGCCGGCTCCGAAGTGATGTCGGCTACAGCTTCGGGCACCGATGCGGCTGCAACTGCTGCTGCTTTGCAGGAGCGCAAGAGATGCCACACAGGTGGCCCAGGTGGCCAGCAACAACAACGGCACCACAATGCGAATGGCCCACCAAATGCCAATAACTGGTGAGCTACAATTTCATATATAAATCACATTAAATCACATCGCTTACACGCAAACATATACACATATATACACAACAGGGCATGCATTAAGGACACACACACACATATATGTACGTATCTACATCTCGTCCCCGTCCAATAGGAAATTTCAAAAAGTGCCAACGTTCGCACAAAACGTTATGATAATGAGGCAGGCCATCAAGCACAGCGTCGCGTTGCTCTCACATGCCTGCTAATTTTATGTGCTGCCATCGCCCAGGATCAGAGCCCGGACAGCTCGTGGCACAGCCTTGCAGCCTAGTGGCATAAGCATAATGTGTTGTACATGCTATTTTGTACGCGTCCTGCTAAAATAGCTTGCCTTAACGAATTTTGTCCGTGTCCTGTTTAACATACTCGAGTACCTTGTTGAGCTTTGCCGGGCCCATCTCCTGCCTGACTGCTGCACGAGCTATTTAATGTGGACTGCGTTAACAAGGCATCCAATTGGGAATCTTTTGCTTATAAGCTGAATAACAGTTTTTTAATGTGAGCAGCTGCATTATAGCTGAATAAGAATCAAAAATGGCTTTTACATTTCAAATTAATTCTTCACAACATGCATAAAAATTTATAAATTTAAGTCCAACTAGACTAATGCTCATATAGTTGACCCTCTTCTAGTGCTTAGCAATTTCATGTCCTGCCCGTGCCTAAACTGTGTGTGTGAAATATCCCCAAATTATTAGCTTTTATGCCTGGTCCCCCACCACTTTGCTTATGTCCTGCCACATCTGCAGCAGCTGCAAAAAAAAAAAAGTCGAAAATGCTCATAATAAATATAAAATGGCAAAAACGTGTCGATTTCGTATAACAACTTGAAAATGATTTGTTTCACAGTCTGCAGCGCATATTAACTTCGATTTTCAATTCGAAGCAGCAGCAGCAGGAGCAGCAGCTCATGTGCCACATGTAGCAAGGACTTTCCCCAGCGCCAAAAATTCCATTAGGCCGCAAATGTTGCCAAAAGAAAAAAAGAAAAAAAACAAAACAAAGCGACTCATAGACAACTTTTGTTGATGTTGTTTCTGTTGTTTATCTGTTTGTTTGCTGGGCGCTTGTCTCAATGACGTTGTCCTTAGCCATAGCCTGCAGCTCCGTCAGCTTCATCTTGTTAACCAAACAGGCTGCAAGCACCGCCACCAAGACAAAGCCACAAAAAGCGATTCAGTTCAGCCAAAAAAAAAAAAAAAAAGGTGAAAGGACTCTAATTGATGGCCTGACTGGACACAAGCCTGCTGCTTTTGCATCTTGACCATTTCCGTTGTCCGGATCTGCATGTCTACTCAATTTTCCGACAAATGAGTGGACGTCGTCATCTCGACTGGTGTTCAACTCACCTTCCAGAAGCTACCAAAATTGATTGGAATTTACAACATGCGGCTACAGTTTTTTTTAGCTTTTAATTTTTTTGCCTCGCAACTCGTCAACACTTCAGCATTGAGCTTGTTTGCGGCTTTTCCTGTTGTTGCTGCTGCTGCTTTTTGCCCCTTGGTCCTGCCACATGGAGGCAGTCATAAAACTCTAACGAGGCTCTCTTCCTTGCGAAAGGATTACATAACATTGTCATGATGTTTGCAATTTTTAAGAACTTCAATTGATTTCAATATTTCCAATTTTCTAATTTACATTCGTTTCTACAAAATTCAGTTTTTAGAATTAAGCTCTTCAAGCAGGCAGACCCCTGACCGATAAGGTCCTTTAGTAAGGGTAATCAATTCCCCGCAAAATACTTTCCAAATTTTTGCATGAGCTTCGCGTTGTTTTTTCAACGAAGGAAAAAAAATATGTGACCATAGGTATTAACGTAATTAATTTCGTACCGCGTCACATGTTTCGGACCGGTAAAAAAAATAAAACCCGAGAGAAATTAATTATAAACAAATCTTTTCATGTCAGCAACGGAATTTGCGACACTTTTGCGCATTTTTCAGCTGCCCGCCGACAACTTTTTTTTAACTCAATTTCACAGCAATTTCTAGAGGGCCTCCCCTCCCCTCGTCCTGCTCCCACCCGCAGCCATTGTTTAGGGTCACTCAAAAGCACATTTCACTTATTATTAGCTCATTTATTACCACCAACTGCTGACCCTGGCAGCACCTGGACCAGATCCTTCAGCAACCCCTAAAAAAAATGTTGTTGTATAAAAAGGCTGCCCCGTCCGAGGCAATAAAAAAAATAAGAAGAAAATTCAAAGAAAAACTCTGTGGGTCGCGGGCATCTTAAAATTAACACATAAATTTTAAGTGGGCTGTGGGAGGCGGGTCCTGCGGCTATCCATAAGATACCTTCGGCTCACGCTTGGTTGGCTCGGACTCCGGCTGCGGCTGGACCCCGGCTATTGTCATTGAAATTTCCGTGCGAGTGCGCTCAGTGTGCTGGCTGTCAATTCACCTAGGCAATAACTTTTTGGCCAATTGCCGTTGAAACTACGTGACGCGCCGGGAAAAGTATCTGCCAGATACTGCCCCATTAAATGCCTCCGACCTGTTTATTGTCTGCAAATTAGCCCCACAGACTCAGCTGGAATAGTTGCAGGCTTGACGCAATTCTAATTATGCGCCAACAAATTAAAAATCCATGGAAAAAAAACTTCATTATCAACTCCATGCAGGCCTAAGCTACAAAAAAAAAAAGCTGTCCCATGCCAATCCTTATTATAACAATGGAACCCAAGACGGCGTCAGAGTCAAATGATTCTTGAAATGAAAGGAAAAACGCGAAAAGGCCGCTGCAATGCGGAAATAAATAAACGTCGCGAATCTCAGACAACATTTTGAATAACAAAATAAGCGCCAGACCCCAACTCGAACTGGAAGCTCTATTTGTAAGATCTGCTCTGTTTAGTTATGCATTTTCCCTGTTTTTTTTTATTTTATACTTCATTTTTTAATTTTCTTATATTTATTTTTCTCGTTCCCACAGGCGCCAGAAGAAGTCCACGAATTATAATACCCAATCCTGGCAGAACGGACGCAGGCAAGTTTTTCTTTTATTTTCATTTTCCCCCCCAGCATCCCCTTTCGTGCCGCGCCAAAAATCCTTCGTGTCAATCGTCCTGCCTGCCATTTGTTTGTCTCTCGCTCTGTGTTTTGTTTTGTTTGTTTGCCTTGTGTGTGTGTGTGTGTGTGTGTTCCCTGTGCTTTCTTTTGCTTTAACGCACGTTTGCACCTTTGCCAAACAGTTGTGTGTGGGTCGGTGGTTGGGTGGCTCTCCTGGCTGCTTGGGTTAGATTGCCCAAGGGAAGGCAACCACATTATTAACACTTGACTAAATATGCATTTCTTGGTGGACGCTGTTGACAGCAAGAAGCGCTAACAAGGTTTGCGTTAAGGGTTTGCAAAACAAAGCTGCGGCTATCAAGTGGGTGAATATAAATTACGAAGAATAAAAACTGCCCATACAAAGCTGACACTTGAAAAAGTCTTAAATCAAGCAAACTAAATAAAGCAGCAGTCAAAGTATGCAAAATTGCAAGATATAAAGGTTATTCGATAGAGAATTTTCAGCAATACTACATATTTTATCTGCTAAATGCGGTAATACCCAATTTCAATTGAAGCAACAATTTAGGCTCGAAGCGAACCGTTGCATATACAACTTGTATTCGAAAATCAAGAGTTATGCTTAAAATGTTTACCAAATAACAAGTAACCAGGTTTGAATCCAAGGCTAGTCTATATATGTAGTTTTCTCTTAGCCGAAGGCCAAAATAGCTCCTGTCATTAAAAGTTAGTTTGTCAGATTGTATCTATATACCTTCTTCTAGAGAATCCATTTCTATACGGAAATTAAAACTGTTCGATCGAATTTACTAGAAATATTCTACTTTCTTATTGCAAATAAGCTAACAAAAAGCCACTGCTTTGAAATATTAATTACTAACTAAGGCTTAAGCAGAAACCCTGATTTGTGCTTTAATTTTTACGAATACCTTGATTCGAACTATGAACCAAATGAACTGGCAAATTATGGTTGGCTTACAACCATTATTGAAAAAATTAATTATTAGATCATATTAGAAGGACATAAATGTTATGGCATATGTATTATTATAAAAAAAGATGTGTCGTCTAGTTCTAATAGCCGTCCGCTTGTCTAAAAGGTATAAGGCCTATTCTATATGCTTGAAATCATCAGACTCGGTCTGGGTATATAACACCATACTTTGGCTGGCAGCAACAACAAACTAAAACATTTGGACTGCAAAAGAGCTCTAGAGCATATAATGTGTGCATATAATGCATAATATATATATATATAAATATGTATATATAAAATATGTAATGTGCAAATAAATGTTCTTAATTAACTCTTTGGATATATACAGATAGAAATAAATAAAACAAAATAAAGTATTTCTTTGAGCGCAAAAAATAAGAAAAACTAAGAATTATTCTTAATAAAGAAAAACCAACATGCACTTAACAATTTAAAAATTATTTACTTAACTTACACTTATATCTGCCATGCAGCATGCGCTCAAGTATTAATCGTGGATAAAACAACAAGTGGAATTTTTGCGGACGCAGTCCCAACGTGTAACATCAAAAGTTACCCACCACCCGCCCGACCGGCGCGAGGGGCGACAGCCGCATGACGCACGGCTCGTAGATCGCGTTACGGCAAGGGTCCGGACCCTGGCCAAAAATAGTTGTATATCACCCGGCGCGCACACGTTTCAATCAAGTCGGACACCCCTTTAAATAGGCCTCGGATAATTTTGTTAGCTGGTTGTGATGGGCGAACAGACCAAAAGCCCCGGATAGAGCGGACGATGCCAATGTTTAACTCTCGTTGGGAGAACAGTTGTGTCAAATTTAAATCGACGATACGGTTTCAATAATCATTGTAATCGGAGATCGGAGTTAGGATTCGGCACATTACATGTGGTTGTTATTTTATCGATGATTTATCTTAGAACTATTACCATTAGTCGCCTACCTAAGCATTGCTGTTTATTAGACTGCCTAAGCAGTTATTAACCTAATATGTTTACATACATTTTTTTGGCTACATATTTGCCCTACTATTGGTTACATATTAATATAGGTTTTATCTTGATGGTTACGTTTGATTAGATATTTGGGGTTCTAAGACCCATTTTACTCATTAACTTTGACTTCCATTTTGCCGTTATAAGGCGGATATTATTTATCCCATTTTGCTTCTTCTTTGTTGACATTATAACGTTGTTCTACTTACAGTCGGCTCGCTTTGTGCGAACAAACGATGCACACAAGAGATATTTGATTTGGCCTTAAAGCCGATACTTAATTCAAGCAAATTACGCTTTTAGCAAAGCGATCGCAGCTGTTGATCTGTAAGAGAGTGAAATGTGTTCAACAAGTCAATATGATATCAGAATTGGGTTGTGAGAAAGTTTAAAAAGTTAGCTAACACTAAGTATGCACACTTAAAGTTAAATAGTTACAGCTGTGCTACATAGAGCACAAAGCCATATACATTAAAAATATATATGTATATTCGTGATCAGTTCTTACAATTCAATCAATCTATATGAGGGTTGATTTGATTATAATCTAGATAGATCTAGACCCATGTGGCTTTTTACATAGAATATTGACTAGGTGTTTTCAGCTTTGAGAATATATAATTGAGATATTCTCTACATAGTAAAAAAATAAATAAAATAGAGAATATCTCAATTTTATGACTCGACTCAATATTCAAACTTGTTTGAAATGAAAGGAATTGAGAAATGATCTGATATTTGTTAAGTTTAATTGGATCAGAAAAAAGCTGCATTTGTCTAAGCACTATTAAACAATTTGCTAATAACTTAAATGGGTTAATAGCTTATACACTATTGTATAACACTTTACTATTTAAACAATTAGAAAGTAAATAAATTTTCGCATAAGGGTATCAAAGAGCCCAATTTTATAGCATACTTTTAAGGGAAATATCTGGAAACTAGAACACAAAACTTCCTGATTTTTCTTTAAATGATTTTAAAATATTCACAGGCCAAAATATTTATGTAGAATATAGAAAATTCATTATTCATCGAATTCACTAAAATATAAACACTTTTAGTCACCTTAATATACATTATCACTTATTAATTACCTAACTTAATATGTTAACATAGTCTATCAATAGTTATTCATATGTATTAATATGTAATAACTGCACGTATTTCACACAGATACACACACACACACACACGCTTAATACGCACCTTGACAAGCCACAGGCTCTCGCAGGGATCCAAGAGTTTTGCCGTTTATTGGCAAAGAACTCAAAAAACTTCCTTCACCGCTTCGATTACGACCACAATAAATAGAACAAGTGACGTTTTACTCGGTTTGTTAGCTTTTAGAGCTTTAAGAAGAAGACAAACACAGGCGAAGTCCAAAGGTTGGTAGTTGAAATTCAACTGAGCTCAAGCATATAGCCTAACTGACTTTTATAGGCAGGACAAGCAAATGGCATGCGCCGAATTTCGTCCATACATATGTACTGCTGGCAAGTAAACGGGAGATGCGATGTTCCAGTTCCAGTTTACTGTTGCCCCCAACTTCATGTCTTGCTTATTGTATTGTTGTATGTAGTTTACAAACAATAATGCCAACACTCACACCAGGCCAGTATCGAAGCATGCAACAGCCAACCAGGCAGCGCTTGCAGTTGCCTACCTCTCTCTCCCTCTCTCACTCTCTCTCTCTCTCTCTCTCTCTCGCTCTCTCTTATTTTTTGGAAGCATTAATTGCACATTGCACATTGTTGTAGTTGTTTATGTTGTTTTGCTTGTATTTTATTTTATTTCCCAATGCGTTTTTTTTTTGCTTAGTTTTTCATGCGCACTCGCTCGCTCTCCTGTACTCTCTTTGCTGCAGCGCACTCTCTCTATCTTTGTCGGGTGCAGTCGTGCCAAGTGCTTCGTGGCCAAGCGAAAAGCTCGCTGACTGCGCTACTCCTTGGCTGTCCCGTCAGTCTCGCTCGGTCTTTTCAGCTCGCTCGTTCGTCGTGCGCTGCTAGAAGCGGGCAGCGTGGGCGGATGGTGGCTGCTGCAGCCCCCCTTCCACCCGCCACCACTGCACACAGTCGTTGCATCTTATTTAGTTACACTTTGGTGCTGTTGCTGCTGCTGCTGCTGTTGTTGTATTTTGCATTGTTTTGTGCTGTGTTTTGTTTTGCTGCTTGCCGTGCAGCGGCCGCCTCTCGGCCCGTGACTTCGTGTTATGTACAAGTCGTTATGATCCTCGGCTCGTCGCTCGTTCGTTGCATATGAGTTGGTTGTGTGTACGGTATTGTTGTTGTTGTTCTTCTTCTCGGTATTGTGTTGTGTGTTTTTTTGCACTTGCTGTTGTTGCCTTCGCATGCCCATATACCACGGCTGCTGCTGCTGTTGTTGTGGCCGTTGTTGCTATTGCTATTGCTGTTTTGCTCTCTAAACTACTCCAACTGCAGAGCGCATCCGTCGGTTAACGGCATTTGGCGACACGACAGCCACGCAGAAAGTTCTCGGGCCCAGCCTGTTGTGTAGTATTGTGTTGTGTATTGCGTGTTGTTGTCCCGGTCATAAACAGCGGTTGAACCGCTTCTACTTGTGAGGCCCGCGCGATTCCAACGAGGCAAAATCTAGAAATTATTCGAATAGGTCCAGTAGTATACGATTTGCAAATTCTAAATTTGTTAAATAAAAAAAAAAGCATTAGGCACAGATATACTATAAAACTTAACAATAAACTACATAATATTGAAAGAACATTCTGCATTTTTTTCAAATCTAAACTTTTCTGATTAGATACCAAAAAATAAAAAAAAAGATTAAATTAGTATAAACAAAAAGTAAAAGCAACGCAAAAAATAGTATTCATTAATAATCAAAAACGCTTTACCAACCAACTCTTAAAATATATACTACATCGTACTAATACAAACATTAATAAATTATAAAATATTAGGACCAAAATTTCTATAAGGAATTTAATCATAAAATCTACACACAA